GTCTCTACGACTGGACTCCCCACGACTGGAGTTCTGGGGACGGGACCCCCCATCTCTAGACTGCCCACGCCGACCAGAAACGAGTCGCTGCCTCGCAGCGGTGGGCGTGTGCCGACCAGTCCTTCGAGGCGGTCCCGGACACTCCTTCCGATTGGACGAGATTCGGTGGACCGAAATGGACCGATGGATCGAGACAGACCGGAGGATAGATCGGTGGATCGAGACGGTCGGGCGAGTGAGGGGGACGGTGGGGCGATCTACGACATGTTGGCGCAGCTGATGGAGAACCAGCGGCACTTGGAAGCGATGTTAGTGCGATTAAGCGGTTCGCTTGACAAGACGCCGGCGGTGACTACTCATCGGCGGCTGTCATCTTCTGGAGCCGAGCTGAGACGGCACGGTTTGGCCAGCAGTGAAGCCCCACTGCCCGAGAGCGACCCCCAGCTGCTCGACGACCGACTGGTTCGGCGGCGGCGAAACCCATTCCTCAGAAACCCCTTCGTCCCGTGACTCATTTGGCCTTTTGCTCTTTGGCCTTTCATGTCAGCAACTGTGTTCCTGACACGCCCCCTTTATGCCGAGAGGTCCTGGATCCTAGAAGCTTCTGGCCCTCCAGGCCGTGCTCCTAGTTAGTGTTAGTGAGTGACTGGTTAGTGATTAGTTAGAGACCAGTAGCTCCGCGAAACGAGCGCCTTGGCACTCACACTGCACACGCTTGCTTGCGCACACAATCAGAATGACAACAAAACAATTGGCGAGCACAGAAGGGACCGATCTCAAAGCAATACTCGTCCTGCCTGGGCGATGCCGATGTAGGGTCACGAGTTCAAAATTTGACCGCGAAAAAGATGCTGGGTATTCGATGCCACTCGGATTGGAGCTGCTGGGACTTTACCACAGTGTTGGCAATGCTGGAGACTCTTGCAGAACAACCAGGACAGGGGGCGCGACGCTTTTTCTTGAAGAGCGTGGGTGATGACAGTGTCGCTAGGGCCCTCGAAAGCCGTCTCCGGATACCCGAACCCGATGAAGATAAGGTAATTCTCCGAGATGACGATGATCTGCGAGTTCTTGAATGGTTTGAAGCGAAGCTCATTCCGGCTCGGAGCCCTTCTCCCGGAGCTGCCATTGTTCCGGAAACGGTGGAGGAATACGAGCAGCGAAGTGTCCCCTGTTTTGCGGACGTTTGCGAATGGCTGATTCCTCGGTTCTGGTCCGACCCGACGAATTCGGAACACGCGCGTGCAGTGGTTGCTCGTTTAAGAGAAGCGTACAGCAGCACAAGTAACTTGCCTAAACCTAGGTTTCTAGATGAACATCAGTCTTTCGCCTCTTGGGTGCCACGCAGCATTTTCGCGGACGGCTTTGGCCTAAGGTCGGCTGTCGCCGTGGCCTATTGGGCTTACTACTTGGACAAGAGAGCTGCTATGTCGCCGGCGCTACGGTTCCGGTATCTCGCCGTACTTAGTCGCTGGTATCCGGCACAAGCTTGGGTGCGCGCGTGCGAAGATGCGAACGAGTGCTGGCCGCCTACAAGAGACCCGAGCCGCATAAAACTGCTAAGCTGTCTCAGTCAGAACATAGCATATGCGCTTAGCAACTATCAGACGAGTGCAGACGGCTCCTTTGTGCAAAGTATCATGGCTCGGCGGGTGGTTTGGGATTTGCAAGACATCGTTTACCCGCTCGCATACGAAGAGAGGACGCCGCGGGAGACTCGCCTGAGAAATTGGACCAACGGGATTGTGCGCGAGGTGGCTCGGATCCGTTACGAACGCTACCTCCGGGTATATCGTGAGCGCCGAGACCGCGTGGTTTCCGCTTATTTCTCAAAATTATTGTCTTGGCAAGCGCCATCGGAAGATGAAGCTGGCTTCCCAGTGGGTGAAGATTACGAGTTCGCTCAACAGCCTAGCTTCCGTCGGTGGGTGAGGGTGGAGGAA